ATCAGTTACTAAAGGTAAAAGTGGCCAGTGGAATTTAGTAATGGTAGTATACCCAATTCCTGAGGAGTTGGCTCATTGCATATATAAGGAAATACAAAATAACAAGAAGCATGCTAAATATACAATTCCCTGGTTATTGTTATCTGTAATAAGCAAATGAAAGTAAAAGAAAGTGCTAGGTCAGGCCTTGTTGCTGAACCAAGCTCAGATTTGGGTTGATCTGAGCTTCAGCCATTAGTCTCAAAGTCACTTAGAGAGGGAAAACTTATTCAAGGGCAACAGAAAGTACCTTTAAGACCTCTAGTCACCAAGAAGGTAGTTAATGTAGGGGGAGGGGAAAAAACCCAGAAATGACTAAAAGCAGGGGATAGTATGAAGGAACTGGCTCATTTTGTGGATCGGTATCATCAACTTCCTAAAGAACCTTTAATAAAATGGATTATGAGTGTAACCAATTTGGGGGCTGTGTCTTTGGTTTTGAATGCTGCAGAGTGGAAGAGCATGTTTGGATTGATGCAGGACCCACAGCTCACTATTGAACAATCACAGAGGGCTATATGTGATCCAGACACAAATGAAGTTATTCCCAAGGGAACAGCCAGCCTGATGGACTGGATAGAAGCCTCTGTAAAGGGTGTTTATCCTAAGAAAGGAGACTGCCCAACTATAAATGCCAGATGGAACACCCCAGATAAAGCAGCTGACGTGATTCATATGCAAGCCATGGGGGACTGGCTTTGTGATGACCAGGATAGTCACCTGCTGAATATGCCTGTTACCCAGGTTATGGTAAATGCCATGATTAAAGGGATAGATAGTGTCAGAATTGAATTGAATTCTTGGACACCCAGTTAGTGTTCCAAAAATTGCTTGTTGGAGGGGTGGGGAACTCTCCCCCCATGTTGGAAATTGGGAGCAGGAACCCTTTGCAAGTAGCATGTTGTGTAATCTCCACATATTTGTGAATTTTTCCATTTTCTTCTTGTAATTGATTTCTGGTTTCATACCATTGTGGTCAGAAAAGGTGCTTGACATGATTTCAGTCTTCTTAAATGTATTAAGACTTGTTTTGTGGCCTAGCATATTGTGGAGAATGTTCCATGTGCACTTGAGAAGAATGTTTTCTGTTGGTTTTGGATGAAATGTTCTATATTTGTCTATTAAAGTCAATCTGGTCTAACATGCCATTTGAAGCCAATGTTTCCTTATTGATTTTCTCTCTGGATGATCTATCCATGGATGAAAGTGGGATACTGAAGTCCCCTAATATTATTGCAGTGCTGTCTATTTCTCCCTCTTAGTCTGTTAATTTTTCTTCTATATATTTAGCTCCTCCTATGTTGGGTGCATAAATATTTATAAATATTATATCCTCTTCTTGGATTGACCTTTTTGTCATTATAATAGTGACTTTCTTTGTCCCTTATTTTATAGTCTTTGTCGTAAAGTCTATTTTGTCTGATATAAGCATAGTTACCCCAGCTTTTTTTTAATTTCTTATGCACAAAATATCTTTTTCCATCCTTTCACTTTCAGTCTATGTGTGTCCTTACACCTAAAGTGAGTCCCTTGTAGGCAGCATATCAGTGGGTCTTGTTTTTTTATCTATTCAGTCACTCTTTGTTTTTTGATTGGAGAATTCAGTCCATTTACATTTAAAGCAATTTTTGATAGGTATGGACTTATTGCCATTTTGGTAATTGATTTCTGGCTGCTTTGTAATTCCTTTATTCCTTTCTTCTCTTTCTCTCTTTGTGATTTGATGATTTTTTATAGTGTTATGCTTGGATTCCTTTCTCTTTGTCTTTTGTGTATCTACTATAGGTTTTTGATTTGTGGCTACTATGATGCTTACATAAAACAACATATTTATAACAATCTGTTTTAACTTTATAACAACTTAAGTTCAAATGCATTCTAAAGCTCTACATTTTTGCTCTCCTCCCATGTTTTATGTTTTTGATGTCACAGTTTACATCTTTTTAACTTGTATATCCATTAACAAATTATTGTAGTTACAGTTATTTTTACTACTTTGTCTTTTAACCTACATACTATATTTATAAGTGATTAACCCACCACCATTGCAACATTATATTATTCTGAATTTAACTATATATTTACCTTTGCCAGTGAGATTTATACTTTCATATATTTTCCCATTACTAATTAGAGCCTTTTCATTTCAGCTTAAAGAAGTCCTTTTACCATTTCTTGTAAGGCTGGTTGAGTGGTGATGAACTCCTTCAGCTTTTTCTCTTCTGGAAATCTTTTTCTCTCTCCTTCAATTCTGAAGGACAGCTTGGCTGGGTGGAGTGTTCTTGGTTGGCAGGTATTTTTGTTTCAGCACTTTGAGTATATTGTACCACTTCCTTCTGGCCTGCAAAGTTTCTGCTGAAAAATCTGCTGTTGGTCTTATTGGGGTTCCCTTGTATGTAACAAGTTGTTTTGCTCTTGCTACTTTTAAGATTTTCTCTTTGTCTTTTACTTATGACAGTTTAATTATAATGTGCTTTGGTGTGGGTTTATGGGCGTCCTGGGTCTTGATGTCAGTTTTCATCCGCAGCTTAGGAAAGTTTTTACCCAGTTTTTCTTCAAATAAGCTTTCTGCTCCTTTCTCTCTCTTCTTTTGGGACCCCTATAATGTGAATATGAGTCTGGTTGATGTTGTCCCTTAAGGCCCTTAAGCTGTCTTCACTCTTTTTTTGTTTGTTTTGAAAAAGATCAGCCCTGAGCTAACTACTGCCAATCTTCCTCTTTTTGCTGAGGAAGACTGGCCCTGAGCTAACATCCATGCCCATCTTCCTCTGTTTTATATGTGGGAAGCCTACCACAGCATGGCTTTTGCCAAGAGGTGCCATGTCTGCAACCCGGATCCGAACTGGCGAACACTGGGCTGCTGAGAAGCGGAATGTGCGAACTTAACCGCTGTACCACCAGGCCAGCCCCAAGCTCTCTTCACTCTTTTTCACTCTTTCACTTTTTGTTTCTGTGACTGGATGAGTTCAACTGCCCTGTCTTTGAGTTTGCTCTTCCTTTCTTCTACTTCATCTAATCTGTTGTTGAACCCCTCTATCGAATTTTTCAGTTTAGTTATTGTATTCTTTAACTCTGTGATTTCCATTTGGTACTTTCTTATATTTTCTCTCTCTTTACTGAGATTCTCCCTTTGTTCATGCATTGTTCGCCTGACCTCAATGAGCATCTTTATGACCACTATTTTGAGGGTTTTTTCCCAGGTAAATCACTTATCTCTGTTTCATTAAGTTCTTTTCCTGGGGTTTTATCTTGTTCTTTCATTTCAAGTATTCCTTGGTTCTTCATTTTTCTTGACTCTCTGTGTTAGTTTCTATGCATTAGATAAAATAGCCACCTCTCCTAGTTTTGAAGGATTGGCCTCATGTGGGAGATAAAACTTAACATTCAACCCTGCCTCTGGTTGTCTCTCAAACCTTTGTTATTTTCCAAGCATCCTCCTTTTGTTTTAGTAGCCCCCAGTAGTTGAGGGTGTGCCAAGACCTGTCAGTGTTCCAAAGGGAAGGATCTCAGTCTGCATCTGGATTCAGGCTGATCAGAAGCCAGAACCTTAGGCAGCTTTTAAAGTATGCAAATATACCTCTTTCAGAGGAAGACCGAGAGATGGACGTTTCTGTCTGCTCCATCTGCACTGAGCCCTGTGGTTATATCCAGTTAAGAACTGTTTCTTTGCTGCTATACCGTTGAACCCATGAACACAAGCCCTGCTGGCCACCAAATCCAGGCTATCAAGAGTCGTGTCCTCTGGATGGCAGCCACAAAATCTGGGGCGTCAGACATGTGCACAGCCTTCATTCCTGGAGACACTGTTGACCTGGAGCAGGGCAGAGGGAGAGCAAAAAGATGCATCCCCTGGCCTGTTTGGTCTCTGGAGAAGATTGCAGTTGGCCCCTAGTTGTGTGTTCAATTAGAAATTAGAAGCCTCGCCCTCAGCCACAGCTTTTAAGATCTACAAATAGACCTCTTTCAAGGAAAGACTGGGTGTTTCAGTCTGCTGCCTCTTCGCAGTGTCCTGGGGGAATACCTGTTACTCTGTTACAGTCCTGTGGGATCTGGGAAGATAAGCCCCAGTGGCCATAGCCAGGCAGTCAAGTATTATGTCCCCTGGACAACAGCCTCAGAAGCAGAGGTGCTACTACATATGTGCACAACCTTCTTTCCAGGAGATACCAGCGACCTGGAGCAAGGCAGAGGAAAAGCACAAAGATGGCACCTACTGGCCTCCTCAGTCTCTGATGAGTATTGCAGTTGGCCTCTAGATGTGAGTTAAATTAGAAGCCTGCCCCTCCAGTTGAAGCTTTTAAGATCTACAAATAGGCTTCTTTCACGTAAGGACTGGGTGTTCAGTTGGCTGCCTTTGCACTGAGCCCTGGGGGGTTAGCCACAGTGATTCCACACAAGCCTGTTAAGACCTGTCTCTTAGTTTGCTGTAGCCTTGTGTGGGTCTCATGGACCTAAGTCCCCACTGGCTTTCAAAGCTAGATGTTGGGGGGCCTTGTCTCAGATGGAAGTCTTAAAATTTAGAGCACCAGATATGGGATCCAAACCCTTCACTTCTCAGGAAGAAGCTGGGAGTTGAGTTCCTTCCCAGTTGTGTGTCACTGCACTGGAGGTGGGGTTTATGGCAAGATTCTGTCTCAGTGTTTCATACTCATTTCAATGTGAATTTTTTCTCATTTGCCTGATTTGCAGGAGTCACTCAGCTAGTTTCTGAATTTCTTTCAGAGGTAATTGTTCCATTTTTAGCTGTAGATTAGGTGCGTCTGTAGGAAGAGGTGAATATAGGAGCCTCCTATGTTGCCATGTTGAACTGGAACTCTCTACTAGAGTTTTGTAGATAGTTATCAGAATCTTCCTGTTTTGGGGGTCTGAAACATGGGAAATACTATCCCCAGTTGCTTTGAGGCATAGCCCTATGTCCTTTCCCAGCCCTGACCTAACACTCAGTTGCTTTGTGATTCTAGAAAAATAACTGTGTGCTCCCTGAGGATGTGAAGAATTTTTACCTAATGACCAATGGCTTCCACATGACATGGAGTGTGAAGTTGGATGGTGAGTGAGCCTCCTTGCTGTAGCAGAACATTTCCCTGGCTAAGAGTTTGGAGGAAACAACTCTGAGGGTCTTTACAACTTTTGATTCTTTGAATCTTGGTGGTTTTCCTGGATTCTCCTAAAATGCAATGTCCAAAAGCTATGATTATCTCCCAAAGCTAACATATCCCATCATTGCTTCGTCCACCACCCTGTCCAGAGTCTAGCCACTAAACTGGAAGCTCAGTTTACATGCTTCCTATTGGAATGGAGTGGAGGAAAACATTAGGCCTGAGCCACCTCAAACCTACAGCATCTGAGGACTCCACCTCAGAGCAGTCTCCTCAGGGTGAGCTGCAGTGACAGCTTCTGGTGGTCATAAGAGGGTTCCCTCCTTAATTCCCAGCACAGTGAAGACCTCAGAACTCTGACCCTCAAAAGAGAGCCTTTCCTTCCCTCCCTCACATCTCTTCAGCCTAAGTCACCAACCTTCTCAGTTCGCAGGCTGTCATCTTTAGTATTAAATGTGTCCAGGACAAACACTTCTGCTGCAGATGTGGAAACTCACAACTTGGTACATGTCAGAGATTTAGGTACTTTGTGGACATGAAAGGCAGTGCTGCACATGTAGATGAAGACTCTAGTAAAATTTCAGAGGCTAGGAAACCCTGATCTAGCCATTGGAGTCCAGCCCTTTCCTGGTACCCAAGAGGCCTTTATTGCCTCCAGACTCCAACCACATCCCCAGATCAACTTTGGTCCTTGAGAAGTACCCTACACCTCCCCACACTGTTGCTAAGAATGCAGTAACTTCATTTGCACAGCAGATCTGCAAGACTGACATCTCCCATTCATTGCCTCTACCTCCTGAGTTCCCTTTTTTTAATGATTCCCCAAGCCTTCCTATTTCTCTCTCACAGCTAACCACAGGCACTCTTTATAGCTTACTGCTAAGCATCCAACACGAACTTTTAGCTTTGAATCATTTCCTCCAATGGCCTAGAAACCATTCTTGTCACCAGCATCAGAACCCTCCTTTGTAGCATGGCCTTTGGAATCTAGAGCAAGAGAGAGAACGGACAGAGACTAGACTGACTGGCAGATTTTTCTCTTGCCCACATCATAGAGACAGGCTAGCCCCTCCACAAACCTTCCTCAAAAAAGAAACATTTTTGTTAAGGTTTTATGAATGAGTCCCTGTTCATTATCATAATACCTTCTCTAATTTAATCCTCCCATCCTCAAGTCTTTTCACCTTTATTACCATTACCATACCCATTCTTTACAAAATAGCTAAAGTTGGTAACAGAAAAGACAGCAGAGGCAGCTTCTGATGTTAACCTTTTTAGCAGTCTTTTCTTCTTAGACACTGCATGGTCTATATACCAGCTATTTTATTGCCTTCAGCCATTCCAGTTTTTTCATCTGTTAGATTTCTAAGACTTTGTATGTCTTACAAGGATTCTGTATAATGGATAAGGAAAATATGCAGTCTGCCTTTTTCTTATTTACACCCTAATCACAGAAGACTAGAACCAGCAAGAAGGCTGCCAAGTTCTCTCCATTGAGTAAGGAAAAATGGCAAGTAGAGGGGAAGGTATTTTCCATCATGAAAGCTTATAACAAGAGGAGTAGAAAAGGTCAATTATATGATCAAAGCTGTTATTCCTTTGGCAAGTAGAACCCTTCATGCAAGCAAAAGAGGGAGCAAAAACATTTTTAAGTCCTTTGCTCAGGATCCTTAGCCTAGATTTCCCAGTTCTTTTGGAATAACCCCCAACACTCGTAGCAAGGGCTCTTCACCTGTGGCCCCAGTTGCTTATTTTGTGTGAAAGATTTGTGCGTTGGATCATGTAGTGCATTGATTGTCTTCATTCCACTTTGCATCAGATTCCTCAGCCCTAGGATCAAACAATAGCTAGGTTTAGGTTACTCAAGCAGAAGCCCTTATGATGACCATGGTAAATAGGCTGTTATTCTATGTAATTCTTCTTTTTAATGTTGCCACAGAGCACGTCATTCCATTGGGCAGCATGGCAATTAACAGCATCTCAAAACTGACTCAACTCAACCAGTCTTCCATGTACTCACTTCCTAATGCACCAACTCTGGCAGACCTGGAGGACGATACACAAGAAGGTACCTAGAGGAACTTCTGCTTTGAGTTAGAAATCAGCCTTCTTGTTTTGCTTTTATAATGTTGAAAACCATGAGAAGACATCACAGTGTTTAGTATGTTCCCCTAAACCCAAAACCTCCCATTCACGGCTTCTCAGGACTGTGAGTGTAAGGTGAAAAACAGCCTATATCAACAAAGGAAATTTTCATGAAGAAAATGCCGGGGTTAGGATCTTTGTTTTGTTTCCAGCACCCACTTCAGTACTTGGAACTTAGTAGGCACTTAATGAATACTTGATAAATGAATAAATGTTATAGGTTAGACTTCGCTCAACATTTCAGTATCAACAGGTTTGAGGGAACACAGCAGTCTGAGTGCAGCTGTCTTCCTCTTCATTCCTATCGCTAGGTTCTTGGCCACTTCTGACTGAAATGGCTTATAAATCAAATGACTACTAAAAGCTGTGAGCGACAGGGTCTAAGTGAGGACTTCTTCAGTCAGAATAGTGTTTGGCTGCATATAACGGAGACCCAATTACAATATCTAAACTAAATAGGAGTTTATATTTTTCATAACAAGAAATCTGGAAGCAGGCTGGTGTAGCTGTTGAGAATGTCGATGATATAAAGTCTCCCTCTGGCTTCCTGGTGCACTAGCCTTTGGGGTATCGTTTTCATTCTCATGGTCAAGGAATACAGGCTGTACCTCTAAGCTTCAAGTCCATGTTCCAGGTAGGAAGAAGAGTGAAAGGCAAAGGGCAAAAAACTGTCCCTTGGCAGAATCTTTACCTTTTTATCAGGAAAAGAATAGTTTTCTCAGAAACCCCTCACAGAATTAAAAGATTACCCATAGCAGCAAGGAAATCTGAGGAGGTGAGTATTTTTAGCTGTGCAGTATTGCCTCCTCAAATAGAATTGGGGTTTAAATAAGAAAGGAAGGGTGAATGAGCATTGAGTAGGCAACTAGCAAGGCTTTCTCCTTCAACTGGACAAGCAGTTGGACAATAGTACTAGAGGATTCCAGGAGCAAACACTGGAAAGTGATGGGTCCTAGGAAGAGCCTGTCCCTCAGAGATGTGTGGAATCCTCAAGGGTGGGGAAAAGGTCACATTTGCTTCATAGTCTAACCCCTAAAAGGCAAAGAAGTTGTTAAATAGTGGACTAAGTCTTCTCTGCCCTTGAGACTGGATGACAGAAAGGATTTCAAGGGACCTCAGCAAAGGACTGAGCTAGGGGTAGATACATACCCATAGGGATAAAAATCACTTGGCCTTCTGACACCTGCTGGGTTCATGCTTTTTAGAATATTCCAACAACTAGACCTAAGCTTCATTAAACCTAAAAATGTTGACTTTTCTCAGGAGACTCAACATTCAGAAATACAATCAGGAAGAAATATCAGAATGCACACCAGAGAAATAAAACTGTTAGAGGACAAAGATAAAACCCTAAATGAAAATGAAAATAAGAACATTTAAGGACATTTAAGACAGCACAGAGACTTCCTATTATAAAAAAGTAAAGATTATCAAACAATTGACTAAATGAATTGAAGAAGATGAAAAGTAAAATTTAAGAAATGTCTATAAGCACAGATAAATAATTTGAAAGGGGGAAATTGTGAGGTAAAAGCTGGAAGGGTAAGAGAAGCAGAATGTAGATCCAGAGAACTTCCATTGGAATTATAGCTTCCCAAGAAAGAGAAAAAGAATAGATGGAAATGCAGTAAATAAACACTAATAAAATTTCTCTCCAGATTTAAAGAGTTCACCTAGACCCAGATTGAATTGATGAGAAAATAGACACCTAGGCATATCCTGATATGGAAGAAAAATTACAAGCTTCTAGGCAAAAATAAGAAGTTATTTGTGAAGAAATAATAATCAGACTGACATCAGACTTGTCACCTGCAACAGTAGAAACTAGAAGACAGTGAAAAAGCATATACAGATTACTGAGAGAAAAAGAGTGAAAATCAAGAGTCCTGTACACACATCAAACACACCTCTCAAATTAAAAGAATAATATTAAAGGATGCATAAAACTTCAGGAACAAATACTCTAACCAAAAAGTAAGTGAAACTGAATCGAGATCTCAAGATGTGGATTCATGAAGAGGAAGGGAAACAAAGGATTAGTGAACCTCCTGTAAGAGAAAAAGAGAGTGTGTATGTATGTGTGTGTTTAAAATTAAATCTTAATATCTAGGAATGTATTGTGAAAACTTTTACATAAGAAATCTTGGAAAAGGGGACATAGTGCAAGGAAAATTTTTAAATGAACTATACTGTCTCAACTAAACCTAAAAGAGGGTGAGATATATGGGTTAAATTATGTTCCCCCAAAATGCTTATGTTGAAGTCCTAACCCCTAGTACCTCCGAATTTGGAAATAGGGTCACTGTAGATATAATTAATTAGTTAAGAAGAGGTCATACTGGAGTAAGGTGGACCCCTACTCCAGTATCACTGGTGTCCTTATAAAAGATGGAAAGAGACAGGTGCACACAAGAGGAATGCCATTTGAGGCAGAGGCGGCACAGGCTAGCATGACTTCTCTGGCAGAGAGGGTAGAGGGTGAAGGTGGTGAATGTGGGTCTAACTGGCCGTGCATGCAACAGCTGGAGGGACCCCACTGCTCTGTCTGAGGAGAGTCACAGTGACTGAGGAGTGGCAAAGGAAAGGGAAGAAGGCAGACAGAAAACTGAAGGAACATGTTTCATGCTCTCTGCCCCGGGATTCTGGCAAGAGGACTGCCCGCAGACCTCTGGGACTCTCCACTCACTCAAGGATTCCCTGCTGGACCATGGGTACACCCAAAGCCCCAAGTGCTAAGCACACACCTTCCCACATTCTACCTTCACCCTTTTTAAAAATTTCTCTCTGTCTGCTTTTTATTCGTGTGCCTGTGTGCACTCCCAAACTTAGTGGTGAATCAGCTCTGGTAAGAGAAACCAAAAACTAGTGCTATAGCACCACCTTCGGGAAAACAAAAAATGCTACTAATTACCAATTTGTTGAACTGTTAGAATCAAAGTAAACAAAGCTTTACTTACATAAGAAAGGTGTCTGCTACCTCAAATTCCTCGGCAGAGGCACTTTTCAGTAAACACTGAAAAAATCACAGTAATACAGTGTCACAGGAAGAAAATGACAGTTTTCCAGCTGAACCCAAAGGTATGAAATATTACAATCTGCCTGATAAAGAATTCAAAATAGCTGTTATGAAGAAATTCAACAAGCTGCAAGAAAACTCAGAAAGAGAATACATTGATCTCAGGAGTAAGATTAATGAACAGAAGGAGTACTCTTAAAAAGAACCAAACAAATTCTGGAGCTGAAGAACTCAATAAATGAGATGAAGAATGCATTAGAAAGCATCAGAAATAGAGCAAATCAGATGGAAGAGAGAATAAGAAGCTCAAGGATAGGAATATAGAAGTGTTTCAGGTAGAAGAGCAGAGAGAACTAAGATTTAAGAAATGTGAAGAAACCCTATGAGAACTTTCAGACTTCATTAGAAGAGCTAATGTACAATTAATGGGATACACAGAAGAAGAGAAGGGGAAGGGAACAGAGAGTATACTTAAAGTAGTAGCTGAAAACTTCCCAAACCTGGGGAAGGAACTGGATATACAAGTCCATGAAACTAATAGAATACATTATCTCAGTGCAAAAAGACCTTCTCCAAGACACATTATATTAAAACTCTCAAAAGTCAATGATAAAGAATTTTCAAGGCAGCTAAGGAAAAAAAGACAGTAACCTACAAAGGAACCCCCATTATGTTATCAGCAGACTTCTCAGCAGAAACTGTATAGGCCAGGAGAGAATGGAATGACATATTCAAAGTATTGAAAGATAAAAATTGCCAGCCAAGAATACTCTACCTGGCAGTTATCCTTCAGATATGAAGAAGGAATAAAGGCTTTCCCAGATGTACAAATGCTGAGGGAATTCACCACCACTACACATTTTTTCTAAGAAATGTTGAAGGGAGCTCTTCAAGCTGAAATGAAAAGATGAAAGTACACAAAACTCTGGCTAAGCTGATAAATAGACAGAATTAGAAAACTCCAACTCTTACTATATTAGACAATTATAGCATAAAGGTTAAAGGAAAAGAGCACTAAAAATAACTATAGCTACTACAACTTGGTAATGAAATCACAGCATAAAAAGATAACTTGTGGAATCAAAAATATAAAAGGAGAAGAGTAAAAGGAATGAACTATCTTTACAGGCAAATGAAGATAGATTGCCAGCAGCAGAATAAGGACCATTGTATCTGTAAGATGTTTTATGTAAACCTCATGGTAACCACAAAGCAAAAATCTAGAGCAGAGGCACGAAACATATAAAAAGGTGACACTGATCAAATCATCATAGGAAACCACCAATTTGCAAAGGTAGACAGAAACAGAAGGAAAAAGAAACAATGGAGAGATAAAATAACCAGAAGGCAAAAGATAAAATGGCAGTAGTAAATTCTTATGTATCAGTAATCTCCCTAAATATAAATGGATTGAACTCACCAATCAAAAGGCATAGAATGGCTGGATGGATTAAAAAAACAAGACTCAACTATGAGCTGCCTACAGGATATTCATTTCAGCTCTAAAGACACAAGCTCAAAGTGAAAGGATGAAAGACAATGTTATAAGCACATGCAAACCAAAAGAATGTGGGCATGACCAAACTTATATCAGACCTAATAGATGTCAAGCCAAAAAGGGTAGCAAGAGACAAGGTCATTATATAATGATAAAGAGGTCAATACATCAAGAAGATATAACAATTTTAAATATACATGCTCCCAACACCAAGCACCAAAATACATTAAGCAGATACTACTATATCTTAAGGGAGAAATAGACAATACAATAATAGTAAGGGTCTTCAGTACCCCACTATTGGTAATGGATAGATTGGCCACACAGAAAATCAACAAGGATACATCAGAATTGAACACATGTTAGAACAAATGGACTAAACAGACATATACAGAATGTTTCATCCAACAGCAGCAGAATACACGTTCTTCTCAAGTGCACATGGAACATTCTCCAGGAAAGATCATGTGATAGGACATGAAACAAATCTTAGCAAATTTGAGAAGATCAAAATTATATCAACTATCTTTTCTGACCAGAATAGTATGAAACTAGAAATCAAGAACAAGAGGAAAGTGAGAAGATCTACAAATATGTAGAAACTAAACAACACACTTCTACACAGTCAATGGGTCAAAAAAGAAATCAAAAGGGAAATGAAAAATTATCTTGCAACAAACGAAAATGGAAATAGAACATCTTAAATATTGTGGGATGCAGCAAAAGCAGTTCTGAGAGGAAAGTTTATAGCAATCAACGTGTATATTAAGAAATTAGAAAGATCTCAAATAACCTAACTTTACACCTCAGGGAACTAGAAAAAGAACAAATTAAGCCCAAAGTTAGCAGAAAGAAGGAAATAATAGAGATCAGAATGGAAATAAATGAAATAGAGACCAGAGAAATAATAGAAAGGATCATCAAAACTAAGAGGTGGTTCTTCAAAAAGATAAACAAAACATACAAAATAACAAAGATAAGGATAATGGCATATTTCTCGGAAATAATTCAAGAGCATTAAAATACTCAAAAAAAATTATCAACCTAGAATTCTATATCCAGTGAAAATACCTTTCAAAAACAAAGGCCTTTTTGAAAAGCAATTTGGCAACATCCATTCAAATGCCGAGAATCTATCCATGTAATGAAAGCAGCAGAACATAAGGACATGGATACTGTAGCATTCATAGCAGAATAATGACAGGTGAATGCCTGTCAGTAGGGGGCTGGCAGAATAAATTAGGATATATCCACTCTCACAGACTATCAGGCAGCCATTAAAAAGAATGAATTAGAGTTACACCAAATGTCTTAGAAGGCTTTCTACATAGTGTTATTGCATAGAAAGCAAGATTCACATTATGTGTGTGATATTCCATATTTATAAAATAAACAATCTTGAAGACAAAATTTAAATGTATACCTATCTGTCTAAGACCACATGAGATCAAGAAGAAAATGAAATAATAACCTCCAGGGGAGGGGAAACCATGTTAAAAAAAAAAAAAGAAAAAGAAAAACGTTTTTAATTAGAAATTTAAATATTTATGCATTTATATAAAATTTATGTATATGTATGGATCTGTATAAATAAACCAAAAATATTATTTTTATGTACTTTGTTTTATCCAGTCCCTCCTAGGTTTGTAAACTCTGTCCACTCCAGTCAGTAATACTGATGTTTATTGCATCATAGCTGTAATGAAATAAGCAGGAGAGAAAGTTTCTGATGCTTGCATTTCTAAGAATTTATCTTTTTTCTGTTACTCCATATTTGGTTTCTTAGTAGGTGTTTCTGAGCTAGACTTAGCATTAATTATAATTAATAATAACAGTATAATTAGATATTGTAAATATACATTTTAGACAGGAAAAGGGATTCTAATGAAAAGATCATAAAGTGTTATAAATGGAGGGAAAGCAGTTATCTGGGAAAAAGAAAAAACGTATGTCCACCTCATGCCACTCAGATCACTCTGCCTTTATGTAGTCCCACTCCCAAGAAGTTCAGTTTGTTTCCTCCTGCCACATTCCCCCAGATTCCGTGCCAGTCTCTTGGTCAGGGGGAACCCAGACAGAAGGCCTAGACCACGGATACCATCCAGGGCATTTAGAGTACTGAATTTGTTTGGCCCACATTTGAACACCGTAATTAAGAATATGTCTGAGATAATGCTTTTTCCTCCTGCTTTTTCATTCTAGCAAAGCTGGATAAATAAGTACGTTTGACTTGAGTGTGTTTGAATATTACCGTTAACTTCTGGGTTTACAGGCAGTGAGAACCAGCCAGAGAAGCCTCACTTTGATTCTCGCAGTGTGATATTTGAGCTGGATCCTTGCAATGGGAATGGGAAGGTTTGCCTTGTCTACAAAAGAGGGAAACCAGGTAAGAATCGTTGACAAGCATGGTCCTATAGTTTGGGTATGGCCTTGACTGACCTTGCTCTCCAGCCATCACACAAAAGGCACACTCCTCTCTGGCTTCCTGAGATACCATTACGTCTTTCGTAGGTGCCAAGACCCAGAGATCCCCTTTGGTCCTCTGAGCATCCACCTCTAGGCCAATTACTACTCTTTTTAAGCTATCGTCATTTGTGAGTTACTGCAAAATAATGAGATTGGAGTAATAAGTGAATAAAAACTAAAATAAGTATAATTAGTCTATTTATAGACTCCTCAGTAGGCTCATGAATTAGAAAAGCAACCAGGAAAAACATTATGTTTCTTCTGTACTTCTATATATAGGCCAGTTCACAGCAATAAAAACTTGACTTACTAGACTTCAATCTAAGACCCCAGATGGGAAATCAAGAGAAAAAGGCTCTGACTCCTTGAGCAGCAGGCACCACCTGGTGCACCAACAGCAGTTCAGGCCTTTGCCTAGGAGCTATGGAACTACAGAGCTGGACAAGGCCCAGCCCCCTTCAAGTAGCTCTGTGCCTGGTAGGGGTGAAAAGATACACCAAGATTTACATCTAAGAAAAGGAGAGATCATCTTTGTGAAGGAACCTTTGAGCTACATCTTGGTTTATGGGTGGGAATTAAATATAGGAGGGTGGTTGGTGGATTAAAAGGGACACCCAAGCAAAGATGCCATGGGAAAGTGCAACTGATTTGGGGGAGTGACAAATTCCAATTCATTGGGCCACGTAGTTCATCTTGTGGATGAGGAGGAAATGAAGCCATTAGGCCAGTTGTTCCCCTTCATGCAGAGCTTTGAAAGGGTTTAGACAAAACCTGGAAGACAGTGGGGAGTCAAGGGTGTTTAGCAGAAGAATGGCAGGATTGAATTGGAAATGTGTGTGACCACAGCAGTTTTGGAAGAGGAAGAGACTGGAGGATGGAGGTCACTTAGGAAGATGTACAGCCATTAGACAGGAGATAAACTAGGGGAGGCCTCCAGTAGTAAGAAGGGAAGGTCGGAAGCAAGTCTAAAGCAGGAGTTGGTACAACAGCGCCTGCTTCAGCTCCAGCAGGACGTCACACAACAGCACAGGCAGGACTTGGGAGAGGGAGTTGGTCTGGGCTTCTCCACCATGGTTTCTTACAGCACTTCTAATTCCTGACAAAAACCCTTTCAGAAAACCAGAGCCATTCAGAGTATCTCTTCCTTAGGAAAGCTGACACCAGGATATGTACCTCTGGGGGAGGGAGAGTGCTGATGCCAAATAGCAAAGGAGAGCTGCTTAGATGGCCTGAATGCGCTGATGGCCAGAGCCCAGCAGGTAGATCAATTGATTGATTGATCAGGAGTTTGTAAAAGAATACCGAAGAAATCAGTAACAGTGGCCACTGGAGAATGGGACTGGGAGGTGGGAAGGGAAAAAAAGGAACTTATATTTTACATCCTCTCTACTATTGGAATTTTTTTGCCGTGAGTAAGGGTCAATAAAGGGAACAAAGTGTTAAGCCATCCCTTCATTTATTCCCTTTGTCTGCTATTTCAGCATTAGCACAGGACACTGAGATCTGGTTCCTGGACAGAGCGTTATACTGGCATTTTCTCACAGATACCTTTACTGCCTATTACCGTCTGCTCATCACCCACCTGGGCCTGCCCCAGTGGCAGTATGCCTTCACCAGCTATGGCATTAGCCCACAGGCCAAGGTAAGCAAGAAACACCTATCATCTCAAACTGGAACTTACCAGAATCTTCTGAGGAAATGCTTGAATTTCAGATTTCCGGCTTCTCCATCTGATTTATGAATTTTTGGGTGGAGTCCAGGAACCTGCATTTTCAATAAGCAAAGCAGGTGATTCCATCGTAGGTTGTCAGCCTCACTTTATACTGATCTAGTTAAGTGGTTCCCAAACTTGGCTGATACTCAGAATCACCTGGGTGTTGTATTTCTAATTAAATAGTATTGGAGGCTCAGTTTTGCTTGTTGGTTTTGGATAGGCAGTACATGCACACCGGAAGAGTAAAAGTCTCTCATTCCTGTTCTCCAGCCTCCCAGGGTACTTCCCCACAGGCAGCCACTGTTTGAGTTTCTTGTGTGCCCCTCCCAAGGTACTCTATTGCACATAAAGCATATGTGCATACAGTTTGGGGGTCCTTTTTCTAAATCACAAGTGCAGTATACTATTCACATTGTTCTGCACCTTCTTTTCACTTAACACTCCATCTTGGATCTCATTCCCTATCAGTACATATAGAGCTGTCCTTTTTAATTGTGCAGAGTATTCCTTTGTATGGATGTGCCCCATTTATATGACAGATCTGGGCACCATTTCCAAACATACAGATGTCAGGTAATGCTGATATACTGCCTGGTTTGAGAACACCACGTGTGTCTGGAAGAACTTGTGATTAGGCAACAGTAAATTAGGGACTCAGCTCCATGTATATATTCATCTAGTGGGCTTCACTTTCCTCAAATGTTGCATAATAACATCCAGTCAACATTGTGGAGTGGTTATAATCAATGAAAAGTCAATAAATGTGATGCCCCTTGTCCTCAACTGCCTAGAAAGGGAAGAGGGCAGCAATGCAGGCAGATTCCCTGAGCAGAGGCCTGGATGGGCCTCGGTTGTGCACCTTCCCTGTGGGAAAGGCTCTGCCAAATCCACCTGATAGGCAGTGGCTGGTCTGAGTGCAGAACAATTAGAAAGACACTGGCCCCTGATGATTTGGGATCTAGCATCCCAGGCTCAGGGCTCACTAGATCAGGAGGAAGGAAGTTTACTCAGATTCTTAGTTCTTATGCTGCATTTATTTTAAAAGTTATGAGACTTCATAAAGCAATGTATGTGTCATCACTTTCATGTAAAGGAAGTGCTAATAGATTTTCAAGGCAGTTTTTGCTCTTGGCTCTTTTGACTCTTTGGCTGTTTAACTAAAGAGCATAAACAATGGCATTTCTCCTCTGAATTGTGACCTTCTCTCCCAATTGTGCCTTACAGCAATGGTTCAGCATGTATAAACCCATCACCTACAACACAAACCTGCTCACAGAAGAGGCCGACTCCTTTGTGAACAAGCTGGATCCCAGCAAAGTGTTCAAGAGCAAGAACAAGACTTTAATCCCCAAAAAGAAAGGGCCTGTTCAGCCTGCAGGCGGCCAGAAAGGGCCCTCAGGTCCTCCCTCCACCCCTAAATCCTCTTCTGGCTCTGGAAACCCTGTCCGGAAATGAGCACTCCCACCTCCAACTCCACTAGCCCCACAGCGATGATTTCCATGCACAGATGCCCCCTGGGTGCCCAAGAGTCAGGTTCTCTTCCCATCTGAGTGACCAAAATCCTAGGCCTTTTAACTCCCATTGGCATTAGCCAGGAGTTTGAAGGGCGTACTCAGGTCCCCCAAGAGTCCTTCCCTCATGGCCCTCACAGCACGTTGTACCACCCCTGCCTCCAGAAGCTGTGGAGAATTTAAGATGTTAAGTGGCTAAAGAGATCTGTTAAGAGCTTTCTTCTCTTTCCACCCCCTACCCCTCAGCAGTGTTTAGAGAAGTCCCCCAAGGAAACCACTGGTTTTGACCCATGAGGTATTAGAACTGTGCTGTTCAGTTGGTAGCCACTAGCCACATGTGACTATTTAAACTATGTTAAAAATTCAGTTCCTCAGGTGCATTAGCCACATTGCAAGTATTCATGTAATTAGTGGATTCTGTATTAGCACAGAGATAGTGGAACAATTCTCTCATCATAGAAAGTTCTATTGGGCCACACTGATTTAGAACATTTTCACACTGCTCTTCCTCAGATCAGTTAATTTTTGTTAGAGAATGTTGATACCTTAATTTGATGGGTCATCATGTTCCATGAGAACGCTTGAAGATACATTTCTATGTTCTTTATATCTTTCACCTCAAACAGTTCTCACTGCTCATTTCTTCTTCACTTTCCTGTAAAGCTTCTCATCTTAGTTTCCTATAAAGTTTCTTATTTTTTGTTTTGTGATGTGATGTTTACACATTTGCCAAAATTATGTTTTTTTTTTTTTAAGAAGAGGTGATTCTGCTATACTTTATTTAAAAACAAAAACAAACTCCCAAGCATTGCTTTACAGGACTCTTCGTAAAGAGTTTTGATGAAACCAGTCAGTCACTTTCCACCTGCTCTGCCTACTGTTCAACAGTTCATGGAGAGGCAGAAAGGGATAGAGAGGGACCAAGATGTCAAGGATAATAGCTGAAGTTTAGTCTTCCAGAAGTATTTTTCTGCCAGAACTGATCAAATCAAAAGGAGAACCAGCAGCACCAGATAAGAGATTCCAACATTTGGCTGTTTTCTCCAAGACAAGACAAGTCAAGGTTAGAAGGGGATTGAGAACTCATGCCATCTTCCACTGTGGCAGATACCCGTCCTCTAATACTTGTGGAGCCCCTTGGTCTAGTTATTCCAGTACTGAAGTAGCAGAGGAGCCACAAGAGCAATGGTACCTTTCAAATCAGTGGGAGTCTTCAAAGGGCTATAGAAGGAAAGGGGTTCTGATAAGGAAAGCCTTTGGACCTGCCTCAGGAGCAGCAGAGCAGTGAAGAAACAGGCCGACTAGCTAATATGGAGGACTCACTGCAAAATGAAGATGTGGGGCCTCTTGTTCAGAAATCAGGAAGTAGTTCCATTAAAGGTACTAAAATACTTTTTTCCTTTCTTCCATGGTCTCTCTCACAACTTATGGTTGTTTTTATTTGCTGCTTAATGCTGTTCTAAATTTTAAAAAATTAAATTTTGGATTATAAGCATTAATTTTATCATTCATTTTTATATTGTACAATTCTAGTTTTAAATGCAACACTAAGAACATTTAACTCATATGTAGAATCACCAAAATTATAATTTACGTTTCATAGCTTATGTATACATATTGTATGCATGTGTATCTCATTCTTACCAGAACAGTGGAAACACTGTACAAAACTAGCTCAACTGTTATTTCACTTCTTGATAAGTAGACATTTTATCAGCACTTCCAACTTACTGATGAGTAAGGAAGGAGTGAAAGAAAAACTATGAGCTGCCCTATGTTTTCCTTTTCTTCTGTGGCATCATTTTCAGCATAAGTTGTTGGCTAATACAGGAAAGTAACATGAGTAATAAAGGACATGTTGGGGTGCTGTGGTCATTCATGCTTCTTAGAATGCCATACCTTCTTTTTGCATTCTAATCAAGTCTGGTTCAAATGGAAAGCATGGCCTCTTGGGGCTCTCAGTGCCCCCATTTACTCAGTTGTTGATATAACATGCTTACCTTACACTTATGTTGAATCTCTCTGAACTCTCACACATCATGATCCACTGGAATTCTGTGCTCACGGGCATCACGGAGGCTATAAGTGAATGGGGCCGTAAAGAACAGTGGACACCCATGTTGCACATAATCGCCTCTGCTCATATGTATGCTTTGTCTCATCAGACTTCACTTACAAAACACAATGCAGAGATAAAATTAAGAATTTCAAGACAGTGACAAGAGAACATTAAACCAAGTGTGAGGCCCTTCTGAATGTGGGGCCCTGTGTGATTGTACAGGTCACATGCCCATGAAGCTGGCCCTGGTGAAGGAGGAAGAGAGCACTTCTGGTGAAAGACTTCAGACAATCTGTAGGTTGAGTGGGTTATATGGCAAAAAAACTCCCCCATGAGATTTGTGTTTTGAAACTAAAGCAATTAAAATAGCAGTCAGCCCTACTGTAAATCAACAGCCCAAGAAAAAGACACTATGCTGGACTCGCAGAAAGAATAAATGGCGAAATGCCTTATGATGAATTGATGTAGTGAAGATTGTGCATGAAGTGCCACATCATCATGCTGCTTGAGTCCTAAAGCAGGAAGTACCCTGAGCCAAGGATAGGAATGACAAGGGGCAGCTTGCACGTGATAATCCACAGAATCTAGCCCTTAAAGCTGTGCTCTCCAAATGCAAACATGCATCAATGTCACTGGAGTTGTGTGTAGAAAGTAAGATAACCAGATCCCACTCCAGACCTACTAAATCAAAATTGCAAGGAAAGATTCCAGGCATCAGGTCTTTTAATCAGCTGCAATGGTGACAAGAATACTTACCAAGTTTGAAACTTTCTGCTTAATGGGTCTGGGTGATTTTGCTTTCATTGCATGGAGAACTCAAAATGTTTTAGTCCAGTAAAGCATGTGCAATGATGAAAGAGGGCTCAAGGGACCGTTTTAGTTTCTGTGTGAATGCATGTAATTTTTAAACAACTTTTTATTATGGAGAATTTTAAACATTTGTAAAGATAGAATAGTATAATGAATCCTCATGTATCCATCATCTAGTTTCAGCAATTCTCAACTCATGACGAATCGTGTCTTATCTATATACCTGTTCTTTACCTCTCCAATTTTAATTTTTTAAGTAATTTTATCTATGGTTTTAAGTTATACTTTTCATTACATTTTAGCAATTGTTCTAAGGATTATAAAATATATTCTTTTTTCTATTCAGTACGAGAGCCACTCATAGGGTCCCTCGTAGCCATATTTGTGTAGCGTAACTCTGGCCCTTGGTTACAAGTGAGTGGACACTGGGTGGGTATCAATCCAAATTGGCTGCACTTTTATCCTTGGGATCTTGTGATGAATTTCCCTCTTTGGCTTAGCCAACCCAGAGTGGATTCTGTTTTTTCTGCCAACTACTCGCTATTTAACACACAACCCCATTATGAGGTTATTGTGAATATTAAATGATTAAATGTCTGTTTTTCTTTGTTCCTTTATAATGTGAGTCCAGCCTTTCTTTCCAGCCATTAACTTTGTACATGAGCCACTCATTTTCCTTCCAAAGCACCACTGTGGTTCTCTTCCTGTCCCTTTACACCTACAGCTTCCTACCTGCCAGTGCTGGCCAGCTGTCCCTTCTCCACCCTGGTGCAGTTCCAGTCCACCCCTGCCTGAGAGCTCTCTGTGAAGCCCTAAGTCCACAAGGAGAGCCCTCTCTTTGGGGTGGAGTGCTTCACACCAGTCCCACTCAATCAACTTCTGGTCATCTTGCCTCGTTTCCTCTGTATCGCCAATGGTTGTTGAGAGGCAGGCTTTGTGTTACTCTGACAAGCCATGCTGCTCAGTGTAGAACCCCATGAACCATTACTAGATTAAACTTAAACTCAATACATAATTTTGTGCTAAATCAAGAGCTGCCTCATACTTAAGTCCAGGATAGACCAATAGGAACAACCAAGCAAAGTACTGAGGAAAAAAGTTGTGAAAAACCTGTTAAATGTTTATGCAAACTGAAAAGGCAGCCACTACTTTATTTGAGAGGCAGGACACCTTAGCTCAGCTCTCAGACCACTTCTGTCGGAAGACCCTACCATAATGAAACATATTGCCAATATTCCAGTATTTTGGCATCCAAACTGTGTCTCCCAGACTGCCTCATGCCACTCACTCACTGTGACTCAGCACTCTTCTCAATGTCCCTGGGTTTGTCGTTTCAGAAACGGGATCTTTGTGATTACACATCTTTGTTTGTTCTCTACAGCACCTAGCACCCAGGCCTTGCTCAGTAGCCACCCTTAGTAAATGTAGCATGCAAAATAAATGCAACCATCTAACTGGATGTTTTCAATATCCAATTAGTCTTACATGGATAAAATGTGTGGAGAGCAGGTCTCCCAGATGCTAAGGGTGAAATGCAGTAGCAAGGACTGTCCAGAGGGTGGCATGGTAAAAACAACGCAGGAACTGAAGGGGTGCTCTGTATAGCTTTATTTTAAGGTAGATTGGCTGTTGTTGGAGATGTATGCTCGGATGTGGTATATGTCACAGGCCATGCACACAAGCCTGGTGTAGACTGCTGAGGAGAGAGCAAATCCAGGCGGGACATGTCAGGAGAGAAGAGTGCGTATTTGATAGCACCGAACATCAATCACATAATTCTTCTTTGAGAATTCCCAAGGCTCAGAACACAATGTAGGCAGGGGGTGGACACAGTTGCTTAGACACTGTTTTTAAGTTCTTGAGGGAGCAAAGGGCAATCCCAAAGTAATTTTATACACAATTAAATTTTACATAAAAAAACTCCTTTATGTAAAATTGATAAACAGCAACAAAGTACATAAGGTATATTCTTTCAGACCTGTAATATCCAATGCATCAGTGACTAACCACAGGTAGCCATTTAAATTTAAAATCAAAATAAAAAATTCTGCTCCTCAGTCTCTCTAGTCACATTTCAAGTGTTCAGTAATCACATGTCTAGTGGCTGCCATAGTGAATAGTGCATGTATAGAACATTTCCATCACCATGGAAAGTTCTATTGGGCAGCCCTGTCTTAGACCATGCATGGCTTGTTTTTACAATTCCCAGGATAATTCTGCTGCAGGGCCCTTTTATACCATGCTATATTCCACGAAGAACAGGGACGTTTACCTGATTTAAGACACTCTTTTCTAAGACTTGGCATCCTTTCCTACTTTATATATTCCTTGTACAATTCCTGTCTCACAGAGAAAGCCAGGGGGGAGTCAGCACACCTTGAAAAAGGAGCTGTCGTCCAGGCTGCAGAGTGGGCTACACAGCTTCTGGGCTTTGCCCCACATTGTAGTCAAAGTCCCCAGGACAGCTCAGCCTCCAGGCCTCTGCAAGGCCTTCAACGTGGAACGCTGTGAGAAATGGAGGTGGTTTCTGCATCTTAAAGCAGCTCAGCTCTGTGGGCCTGGCCTCCTGAGCTCAGACATAATCACTCAAGAAATGACATTTCAGGCAAGCCCCATGGCCTAGTGGTTAAGTTCAGCAGACTCCACTTCAGTCCCCAGGTGTGGACCTACACCACTTGTCTGTCAGTGGCCATGCTGTGGTGGCAGCTCACATACAAAAAGAGGAAGATTGGCAGTGGATGTCAGCTCAGCATGAATCTTCCTCAGCAAAAAAAAAAAAAAAAAGGAAATGACATTTCTCAAAGTACCTGCTATTCCTCTGGAGAGCAGTTAAGTTTTTCTTTCTTCTCAGCATAAAGACCAGCAAAGAATACCTTGGAGACCAACCAGAGCAGGGACACAAACAGCCTTCAGAATAGTTAAGTCCAACATAAGGGAGACCTCATCCCTCGAGCAAAAGCTGCAAGTGAGGGACAAACTATTAAGGACACGATTACACCTTTTACCTTTATCAAGGCTCCAGTTCACAACTTTATACTTTCAAACTTTATTTGTAAATGAGGTCCCCCCTTGGGATAGAGGTGGAGGTATACATTGTCTGCATTTAAATGCCTGGTGGTTCCTGAGGCTCATCTGTTCCCACAGGTGGCTCTAGACCATGACCACACAGGTTCTGGAACAATGGTGGCATTCTAGAATGTAGACTTATTGACCAACTTAATAAGAAAAACTATATTCCTTCAAAACTGTGATTCTAAAATAGACTGCTATACTTAATAAGAAAAACTATATTCCTTCAAAACTGTGATTCTAAAATAGACTGCTGTAGCCTTAATTACTGTCTTCACAAATCATGTTTTAGGCCACTAAAAAAAAGGAAATCACCTTCAATATTATAATAATTAAAAACAAGAAGAATTCAACCAAGCACAAGACAAATTTTTGAATTTGTCTTGTGACATTTTTTCATACGCACAAGCTTATAAAGTTTAACCCAACAGTGAACTTCTATATACATTTGTTGATTTAGGAAGTTGTCTAAATTTCCACAATCCTTACAATCCAGGATAGTTTTTCTTCCGAAAAGAGAGAAGTTATTTTTTACATACCACCTGCAGAGAGGGGCTGCTGGGTGAGAGCCCGTCTCCTTCCACTGAGACTGCACTGCTGAGGACCGGTGGAGCTGGGAATGGACTCCTTTATTCCCGTGTCACTTCCATTCTTACGCCTAATCTTCTGAGCCAAGAAGGGCTCTGACGTTGATTGAATTGCTCTAATTCTGTAGCCAGGTCTACCACCAGCTCCTGTGTGCTGAGTTCCAGTAGAAATGATCTTGTCTCAATCACATATCGTCAAGGACCCCTTCTTTTAGGGACTGGATGCAGCAGCTACCAGAGCTTCCCAGGGAACCAGCTCTTCCTGTGAAGCTATCACATTTTTCATTCTTACTTGAAAGTTGGGGTACACAAAAACAAATATTCCATTGGGTACACGATTCAAGTGTTTTTTTTGGGAAGGGTGACTGCTTCCCTTTCCTAGCCTACTGCCCTGCCCAGAAGTATCCAGCTGTCCTCCAGGGAACCCCCTCCCAGAGAAGAGTGCAGGCTCAAAAGCATTTCTAGGCAGATGCTATTAAGGGGCAAGGACTCTGAAGGAAAATGAGCTTTCTGGTTTATTTTCTGATAGAGCAAAAGGCAAGGCCTTTTCTTAGCTGGGCTGACTGAATAGTCCAAGACCTGCGTGACCTATAGTCCAGGAAAACCTGCTGCCCCCACAGGGAGGCAGAAGGCGCCCTACTTACCTGTGGTTGACTTAACGCCATATCTGTAACGTGCTGTGCAGGTCCTCTGTGGAATATCTTTTATATTTGCCCAAGACCCATTTCTTCCTGTCTCCACCTAAATCAGATAACTTACAGATTATATCAAAATGAACAGAAGAAAATGTGTTAAAATAGAAACCGGCTGACTAGCCCCTCTAATGGGAGATGAGGAGGAGAGTGAGTTTGAGTTTCTGCAGACTATTGGGACTGACACATGCAAACCTCTTCCTGCTCCACCGACCACAAGCAAGGAACCTGCAGCATCAAGCCCTGGTGGTGCAGTGGGTCCAGCACACTGCTCCTACAGCACATGCACTGTGGTGTCACAGTCACTCCTCAGTGATGGTCAGAATGGGAAATTTTTCATTGTCAGGTGTTGCTTCTAATTATTTAGCCTATTTAATTTTGCTGTACTTGTAATGCTCTACTTCTAAATTACAAAACATTCTGACAACAAATCATTGTTGCTGGTCTATAGTTAGGAACACTTCCCCCTACATCAACAGCTGAAATGGTGTTTGAACTACAAATTCCCAAAATCATAAATTTGCACTTCTTCAGGTGGATCTTCTTAAACAAAAATTCTTTTTAAAGACAATAATTAAATAATGCTCAATAAGAGAATATGAATGGCGTGGTCCTCCCTGAGTAGCAGCAATCTGAATGACCTGTCATCATATTCTTTCACCAGCAGTGGGAATCATTCCATCCTGACATCACAAAAGATGCTTTTGAGCTTCTGAACCTTTTCTACTTGTGCTGGATGTTGATGGATGAATGAGCAGGTGGATGGGTGGGTGAATGGATGTGTGAATGAGTGGGTAGATAGTTGGGTGGGTGGATGAATAGATGTGTGAATGAATGTACGGATGGACAGATAGGTGGACAGACTGTTGGGTGAGCGTATGGATTACCAGTTATTAACAGTTGATGTGCAGTGTGTGCATGATTATCAACCCTTACCAAAAGGAGTTTAGATGGTGCTGCCACCATATACATGACCAGACCTCCAGGATTTCAGATTGGTCAAGGTAGCATGACTGGCTCCCCACCCACCAGGCCCACCCCTGCGCTGCATGCTGGGCATGAAGTATAGCTGAGTATTGGTATCCAACTAACAGGCTGTCTTAAGGATTCTAAAAGAACAAAAAAAATAACCAGGAATTAATGAGACAAGTCAGGATATATCACTTCCTATCTTCTGTCCTTGGGGAAAGTTATTCAGTCACTCATCCTTAATTTCTTCATATGTAAAATGAAAATGCAGAGTGGCTATAAGGATTATATAAAATAATATGTAACAAATGCCCACACAGAGATGCCTTCAATAAAAGTGTTAACTATTTTTAAAATGATTCAGAAAGTACATTTCCCCACCTTCCATGAATTGCCCAGCAAACAGAACTGATTTTTCTGCAAATAGACTGCCTTTTTTTGGTAAAATTGATGGGGCATTTTAACATCATGTACCTTCACTGCAATTAACAAAGACATTTCTTCCCTTATCCTAGGCAATTGGGGATTTTTATTTCTACTTCTGTCTCTGATAAAATGTATAAGTAGCTGCAGAGTGGTTGATTAAACTAATTTTCATTGTAGTTGATGACTGCCTCTTGCGGCCCCAGGTATGTTCCCCAAGGGAAAGGATCATGACTCTCTTTTTCCCAGCTGAATCCCCAGCCCCTGGCACAGGGTCACCTCTGTAACAGGCCCTTAAGTGCATGTTTCTGATTGGTGGTTGTATTAATTTCCTAGGGCTGCCATAACAAATTACCACAAACTTGGTGGTTTAACACAACAAAAACTTACTTTCGTATCTCTGGAGGTCAGAAGTTCTACATCAGTTTCATTGGGCCAAAATTAAGGTGTCAATGGGGCCACACTCTCCAGAGGCCCTAGGGGAGAATTTATTCCTGGCCTCTTCCCAGTTTCTGGTGGCTGCTGGCATTCCTTGGTTTGTCGCCACATCACTGCAATCTCTGTCTTCATTAACACCTTCCCCTCTATGTCAAACCTCCCTCTGCCTCTCTCTTATAAGGACATTTATGATTGGATTTAGGGCACCCCTAGATAACCCAGAATAATCTCCCCATGTCCAGACCCTTAATTTATTCACATCTGCAAAGACCCTTCCTTATAAAGTAACTTTTACAGGTTTCAGTGATGAGGACTTGATATCTTTGGGTGGCGATCATTCAGCCTTCTACAGTCATATTTGGTGTAACGCTATCTCAGGGCCATGAACACAGGAATGGTGGATCTGGAGCTATGGATGCTGAGGCGGCCGCCAACATGTTAGGAGCTGGAAACCAGCTCTCCTGACTCCCAGGCCCTCCTGTTCCTCCCTGCACTGTGTTGGATGATAGACATGGAAGAAAACAAAGCTGAGTCTTCAGCCCCTCCAAGGCCCTGTGCACCCTCCTTTCCATCCCAAAAATCCCTCATTATTATTAAAATAGAAAAAAACCTTAAGACTCTAAAGAAACCAGAACCCAGGCATCTTTCACAGAAAAGCATTTGCCTTTCTTTACTTTATGAGCAGGTTTGTTAATTTCAACTCAAATTAAGAATAGATACAGGAATATCTATGGTGATGACCAGCAAGATTAGTAATAGCATCTCACAAGTGGGACATACCATTCACTTTAATGCTTCTCAAAGGTTTTTTAGAGAAATTTAACCTCCTGAATCAAAAACCGCTAACAGAGGCAGCTAGAGTGAGTGGTGACAAGGAAAGAGAGAGGAAAACTTTTTAAGTTTCACTAAAAACTACTAAACCAAGTTCCCAATAAAAAGAGATTCTCTTTACCAAGCTGTAATCAAGAAATTAGTTGACCTAGAGCCAGCCCTGATTGCCTAGTGGTTAAAGTTATGCATGCTCCTCTTCGGCAGCCCGGGCCCAGTTCCCAGGGGCAGAACCACACCACTCATCTGTCAGTAGCCATGCTGTGGCAGCGGCTCACACAGAAGAACTTACAACTATGCACAATCATGTACTAGGGCTTTGGGGTTGGAGAAAAAAGGAGGAAGATTGGCAACAGATATTAACAAAGGGTGAATCTTCCCCCTCCCAAAAAAATTAGTTGATCTTGCTTACTGCTTCTGAGAATTTTTTAATCCCTAAAATAAAATTAACATTAGATTTATTCAGTCACTTCCTGCCAAATGTGACCTTTTATTCTAAAGCAATAACTCTAGGCAGAACACCAGGGGCCCCAGGAAGGGCATCAAAGTACTTGTTCACTAAACAGTGTGACAAAAAATGCATCTTCCTTTGTTTGCAATCACAATCCCCAGCAATACAGATATTTCATGTCTGTATTCAGTGCCGAGGCAACAGGGAAATGCTCTCACAAACCACTAAGCCACATGTGGAATATTACACATTATTTAGAACCATAAAGACAAGAGCTTTAATACCCTGTGTATCCTTTTCAACAAAGTGATTAAATAAACTCAATTGTCTGTAATACATAGACCTAACTCTTCCAGGCTCCAGGATCTCCTGGGGTGCTCACGTTCACCATGTATTATTTGACAAATGCCTGCTTGAAACAGCTCCCTGTCTCTCAGTGAGTGGGGATGCAGAAGAGTGGGACACAGTCACGGAGGCCTATGGGGGGAGGGTATTATCTTTGGCTCTTCAGACAACACAACTGCATCTTGTTTATATATCGCATATGCCCAGATTCAGAAATGCAGACTCACAGAGGTTTTGAAAGTGAGGCAAAGATGGAATCAGTGACCTGATGAGCTTTCAACCCCTTTCAAACTGCTGCAGTGGTTTACCTTCCTGTTTTCAGAGGCAGAGGTTCTTCATGGGAGCCATGCGACCCTGGGTTGAGGGGCTTCTGAGGAGGGCTCAACAACCACCTGGGCACCAGCCCCTTCAGCATGGCTTTGTGGTTGCTAAGAGCCCCTCACCGTGCCTTCCTCTCTGAACACCTTAACTTCTGATGACCTGTGTTGAGTGCCAAGGACCACACTTGTCATTCTGAAGTTCTCTGTAGACAAAGCTTTAAATTTCCATTTGTTTTGGTGACTTCGTAAACTTTTTAAGAAAATGAATTTTTACGTAAGAGGCAAGGAAGTGAGTTGCAGAATAGTTCAGATGTTGAAATGCTACTCTAATTTTTGCTTCAGCATCACAATGGAACAAAACAAAGCACATGGGTAAGTGACATATATGAGGTCATCGCTAACATATCCTGCAATAAAGACTGATGCCTAATTAATCAGGAGTTGCAAAGAGCACATTGTTGGTGCTTCTCACTCCATTAACCAAAAAAGCAAAATGAAAGACAAAGGGCCTGGAGGCTGTTCCCAGTCAGGGTCCTTCTGATGAACCTGAGAAGAGGTTCTGCTGATTCAGAAGGAAACGAGCGAGCCCATGGAGCTGTTTAAGGTCCTAAACCCAGGAGAATAAAAGTTTCCAGTTATAGCATTAAACTCTATTTATTTAGTATTTGAAACATGGTGTACACTTATGAATTTGTATAAACATTTAGTACATCTAAAATCCACAACTGGAAAACAATCTGTGCTTTCTTTTGTGTACAATTTTGGAGTTTACATCTGGATATTTGGTGTTGTGGAGAGACCCAGTCTGTGAATCTAAACAAATTGCCTCATATGACCATAGTAACTGTGACAGAGTGATTTGCTCCTTAAACGGCTGTTCCTTGCACAGAAAAGGTGTCACGCTTTGGAACTAATAAACCAGGTGTCAAGGAAAAAAGAGAAACACAGCTGACATGATGAAGAAAGTATGCGAAGGAGACTCCGGAGATCTGTGTCAATGCACAGTAGGCAACACAAGCCACGCGGTGACACTAGAAACGGGCCTCCCTTCAGAACCTTCGGATGTTCACGTAGAGTCTCCTTGTCCCCCACTGGAGGGGCTGCATCCAGCAGGAGCTTGCACTGCTTGGGCACACATCTTAGGGCACCCACATGTGTCACAGCTGCAGCTCCGAGGTGCCGACCAGGCCCAGGGCTCTGGCTTCTTCTGGAGTCAGGCCACTCTTCAGGGTCCTTCGCACTGCAGCGGCATGGGCAGATCACAGTCAATGAGAGAAGAAGAGAAGGAGGTATCAGCAGCCAGGCATATGGCAGTCAGCACACCAGACCCCTTTCCCCCAAGGACCCCACAGGAGTCACAGGGCTCACGGACGCTCTGCCCCATCCTGCTCCTGCTGAAGTGCCTGGAAGTCTGTCTGCCAGGGCAGGAAAAATCATGGGGCTGCAAGAGGCTGACTTGAAGGTGGCACAGGTGCTGACATGGGGATCCAAGCAGAGGGGGGACCTGGTAAGAGGGGAGGAGAGGCCCATCCTTACAAGGTTTCTGAGAAATGGGTGCAAACCGCAAGAGTGTAGGTGCATGTTGAGAGCTCAGCCTCAGACCTGCATAAGGAGTGGATCAGAGCTGGAAAAGTAACTACAGGGTATAGGAAAATGTGAGTTCCAATGATGCAAATTAGGTAAGATAACCCCACAAATCCATAGGAGGAGCAACAATGCTGGGGACATATCAAAGAACCCGTGGCCCTGCAGAGCAAGGTGGTACTAGAACCCAGGGCAGGGAGCAGTCAGGATGAGTCTCTCCATGAGCATTGTGGGTCTTAATCTCAACTCATCAAAGGGCCTCCAGAGAGAATAACCAGCGACTCCTTGCAGACTGGTTGCCAAGGAGCAAATTACTAAACTTCTCCTGGGTGGATTTGGTGGATGGTCTCTGTGAAACACACGAGGCTCAAGAAGGCCCAATGACTCCTTCACTGGGGCTTACAACTGGCAGTTTGAAGAGCACTCATATTTAACTGACTTAGAATTAACTTGTGTTTAGCTTGGGCTTATGGGTTTTCCCATTGTTCAGTGTTGATCAATTTCTATGTCAAAATAAAGGCTGGATAGGGTGAACGAGGAGGCAGCTGCCCCTTCCAAGACAGGTCCTTTTATTTGAAAGTTGCCTAATTACATTTCCCTTAATTTATAAATTGTATTTGGCCTACTATGTATGTAAGGTCATACAGAGTTTAGGGTATTTGTTCTGTTTTCAGAAGAGATGTGTTACAGATCTACTTCCATCCTAAATCCTAAATCAACCAGAGTCCCTGAGATGGTCAGGGCAAGGCCTTGATTAAAAACGTGGAGAAAGTAAAGCTCACCCTTCCCATCTTCCCTTGCCAGACCCAATTCCCCACATCCCACCTGTGACCAGGGGGCCTGTATCCTCTGAGGCATCCCCAGAGGCCAGGGCCCCACCTCATGTTTGTAGGCAACATCCCATATTCCATGCCTCCCCATCATCCCCTGGGCAAAAGCCCACTTAGCCTGTGGACAAAGGATCTACAAGACCCATGGCCACGGCAGAATGAGCAGGGGCTAATATCTATTAATAAATGGTTTCTTCTCTCCCAGGAATCAGCACTTTGATCAGAGGTCAACACCTAACCCATCAATTGGTCAATCAACAAATCCTTTCTGGAGAACCTACTGTGTGCTCAGCACTTAACGAATTAAAACACTTATGGAAGACTCACAGACATCAAGTGTGGATTTTTATAGAGACTTAAAGATCTAGGGTGAGGGGCACCCTCAAATCATGCCACCACACATTACTTTATTTCCAAGCCTAGCTCTGGGCCCCAGAGCCACCCACCTGTAACTTTTCCTGCACTAGCTCTCCCTTCCCCCACCCCTGGCCCCTTGGGCTCCAGACTGAGTGTCTGACTTGTCCAGACAATATGTTTGGCTCCAGAGCATTGGCTGGAGGCAGATTACATTCAACTGAGTAATGGAATTTGCTCTATGGGGCAGCAATAAAATACTAGTTTGCAATAACCTTTTATATTCTTTAAATACTCCAAGTGTTTGTTAAAGAAAGATAATTTTAATGGCAAAAAAGTAAGATAAAATATTTCTCATTCTTGACTAGGACTGCCAAGTCCTCTTATCCAAGACATAAACTTCTGCCTGAAGAAGTCCATGCTGCACTAGTCGGGCATCTTAAATTTCATTAGTCGCAGAAGGGGGCATGGTCATATGTCTGTGAACTATAATCTTTGCGCCTTTAGGTAGGCATGATTGGCCAAATGACAAGAGAAGTCTCCACAAACTGCTAGGCATTTTACCCATGAGGGCACTTAAAGATGCTTCTTTAACACTTCTGTTCACACATTTGCTTTAATCCTATAACTGTAGCGTTTGGTTCACATAAATACTTGAATAAGGACCCTCGCACCTTACAACACATGCCATAATCTCGTAATAGTTATGGCTATTGGGCCAGCCTGTCTGGGACAGGCTCAGAGAGCAGAGCAAAGCTTACTGATGCTGCACCAGCTTTGCTGCCTGACTGCACAGAGGCTGCACCCTCGGCCTCAGGGCCTACTCGCAGTTTTAATGCGCCAGACCCCGTGGGACCCTCCCTCACCCCTCCGGCCTGGGCTCAAGTGTTCTCTGTGGGGAAAAGCCAGTACAGGCTAAGGTCCCTTTGCTCTTCAGATGTGTCCCTGAAAAGTAGGTATTCATAGAAAAATCTGCCCCACCGATGGAATCCGACTTTCTGTGGGCCTTTGTGACAATTCAGATAAATTGTCTCATAATAAATATAATACATAATAAAAATAACCCCATAATAAATACATTAACTGCAAAAAAGACCTTAGTTCCTCTGTTAAACAGTCAAAGTCAATTCAAGTTACCACTTGAAAGAAGGTGTGAAATGAAGGTGATTAGTTGAATCAGTCTTGTGCCCTGATTCAAGCCATGCATAGCAAAAACTTCTTTAGAGGTCCATTTGGCCATCTCTCTGCTCATCAGTTCACTCATTCATTCAGCAACCATTACTTGAGACTCTACACTGAGCCAAGTGTTGCCGTCAAGGGGGCAGGCGGCTGACAGGGATGTTGTGTGAGGAGAAAGGCGCAGGGCAGCAGACCCTGCCCAGACAGAGAGCT